TCCTTGTAGATATTTCCTGAAATCGAAGAATATGCAATTCACTGGTGAACTACCTTAAAATAACATGTATTTTACACCAAGGCAGAGGCTTAAACTTAGTGAGCTAAAAAGACCTGGAGTCCGAACCCAATTTCGAACGACGCGGTGTCCGTTTGGGAGTAAAACTCCTGCCGTATGAAACCTCTCTGAAAAGCACAAATCTCTTATTTGAGTTGTAGGAAAACATGTAGGGACGCTTTACAAGCACTCTTCATTGTGTGGGGGGTTGGATTTCATCCTGACCTTCGACGGAACTTCTAAATTTGATACTACAGTCAACATCCCAGGAGACCTATCAAAACTACCCATTCAGCAGGCAAGGCTGCATGTGCGGAAGTTCTTCTCTGTGCAGTGTAAACGGCAATAAAATGACAAAGAAAAGTAGATACAGGGGAAACTTGACTCTTAATGGGGCACGCTGCGTTTATTACAAGAAAAATGACGACAGCAAAAATAATATAGGAAAAACGGCAAATGGTAAACAATTGTATAGACTCGTGAAGAATGACGGCCTCTCCAATATCATTTGTCGCAGCGTGAATGTTCTGAGTAAAGTCCAGGAGGTTCCGAGCCGAAGTCAGTTACTGAAGCTTGTTGCTCGTATGAATTGGCAGCTGGTTAGATATGACCGAAATGTATGAATTTTTCGTGGCATTTGACTGAGGGGCATTTAGGCGCATGAGCATAATCAACGAAACAATGGCGCCAAGCAGCAAACGGACACAAAAGCGCGCGTTGTTTCAAGTCGAAACCAGGTGAGTATTTTAGCAAATTTAAACAGCAGTGCGGAAAAGTTCGGGTGTTCAAGAAATTAAAGTGAAAAATCGCAAGTTTATTTAAACTTACATCTGTCAGGATTTTCAGACCTTAAAATGTCCTTTCTGCAGATGTTTTAATGTCATCCTCGATGTAAGGCTTTGAAAGGAACCTTGAGAAATTATGTTCGAAAATGAGCCTGAACGACGAGGAATCGGACTCATGCCTTGAAACACACCCTCAGATTTTCTTTCTTTAGTGGGTTACTTGGACTATTTCAACCCACATAGTTTCTGTTTTCATTGCATCCAATATGCAAATAGGGATCTCAGGGGCTCACCGCCTATTTTTTTTTCCCTGAGTAAACTAAGCCGAACCGAAGGGTAAAAACCACATGTTTTGGTAGCGCGAGATAAATTCCTACCTCTATATTAAGCCTTACCTCCAAAACTCTGTATCTTGCCCGTTGTTCCCTCTTGTCCGCATCAAGGACTGCGCCCGTACCAAGGCTGCAGCAACGCCCTCTTCACTTACCATCCTAAACTCCGGAATATCACCGGGTCTGGTGCAGTTAGAGGTAAACCGAAAGAAAACCTGGATAAACTTACCAGTTAATCTACCAGTTTAATTCTAAATTTTAATTCTGCCGAGTGCACGGTCCTAAGATTTCGCGTCAGGTGTTTCACCGAGGAAGGTAGTTCTCGGTGGCCAACAGTCTTAAAATATGGTTGCTCAGAGGAATCTAGATGTTATAATTACCACCTCGCTTTAATTGTCGTCATACTATGTACTGGCATCTAAGTGATCACCCCATGCTTGCACAAATTGCTGAGGAATTGTTCGACCAAACTGACGAAGTGGTCGCTAGATCCCATTTGGAGTACGCTGTGCAGGGCTGCCAAATTGTCATGGAAGTCCAGACGATGGCTAAGAGTATGGTTAAATTTTTCATGCGCTGCCATACAAAGTCCGACTGACTGGACGCCAATTGTCTCCTCCAGAATGAAGGCACCAGCACAGTGATCTTATACGAACCTAGCGAACTATTGGGTGTCATGAGCGCACCCCATATTTGGAGGACTTTTTCAAACCGAGTGGAACGGACGGTCGGCGCGGTCAACCCTTCAAGTTTCAGAGAAAGCTTGCCCACACGCTATCCGGCATAACGCCTCTTTCAGGAGATACCTATGATATGGAAGGAAATTTATGTTGAAGCAGTGCTCTCGGGCACTGTTGCGACATCTAACTACAGACTTCGTAATCACTCGCTTTGAAATTTCTGCAAATATAGGCGTGCTTCTATTAGTGCCGACAGCTTGCGTCTGGTCACACAACCGATATCGGCATTTTTTCCGTACAT